TCACAGGCAATGGTATCTCCATATAAATAATGTCCAAATATCGGACAAAGGCTTCTATATGTGCCAAATAAATGCCGAACAAATGCAATCCCAAGTGGGATATCTTGATGTCCTAGGTGATTTATTTTATTTATTTGTTTCAAAATATTTAAACTGTAATATAAATTTATTTTCTAAATTCTTTCAATAATTGTTTTTATATCAATGAATTGTATTATTAGTAATTTAATAAAGCTAAATAATTTTCATTAACTTGGAAATCCTAGAGCTTTTCCGTGCGATAATTGTGTTTAATGCCGATGTGGTAGTAGTTTAGGGCAAATGTAATAGAGTGTTAACATTTTTACGGGCTAATGGCCATATACTGACCTACGGTAGTCGCCCAAACATTTCATATATACGTGTTTTAGCTATTATTTAGTCCGTCATAAAAATCGTACCTCGGATTTCCTTATGTCTCTATGGAGCTCTAAAGGATTAAAATTACCCATGTTAAATCCAATAGTGTGGGACCAAACGATCCTATAAACCACATTATTCACAACTGAATTGTGGTTAAAACTTAAAATAGTAAACATAAAGTAATTATAACACATGAATGACTAAGGTTATAATCACATAATCATTAATTTAATATTTGATTGTTAACATGTACAGTTATTTTTAGGACATTTTTAATATGAATTTTGACAATTTTAAGTCAATTTTCTTTATTGAGTAAAAGAAATGTTGAAATATTTTTTGTCCAAAATTAATGTCAGCCAATATTTCAAGTTTTATTATCGACACTATTTTTTGCCAATTTTATAATGTTATGAAGCGATTGTCATATCTTTTAAATCATATCTATTTTTGCACTTTCTGTAAGTTTTAAGATAAAATTTACAGTTTTATTTGTTAAAAAGTATCAAAAAAGCATGTTTTAAGCAAATATATTATAACTTTAAATTTAGCTAAATTACAATTATTAATATTGAATATTATTACAAAAATTAATATTATTTTAAAACTATTATTTAAAAGAAAATTATAATTATTAAATTAATACTAATAAGTAGATACTGTTGTGGTGCATAATATAAAATAATACATTAATCAATTAAATTGGTTTATTGAAATGTATTTTATGTGAATATATTTGGCATTCAGTTCCGCCATCAGTGTTGGAATCGGACACGAGTTCCGATACTATTGTTGATGAACGACAAAAACTGTCGCTCAGATGTCGGGCCAGCGGTTATCCGACGCCTTCTGTCACGTGGAGAAGAGAGGACGGGAAGGACATCAATCAGGGTCTTTATGGCGGCAAAAAATTCTTCGGTCATTATATTTACTTATTATTACTTATTATTGATAATTATTGATAATTATGGATATAATAATTGTAATGTTATTCGTTGTATGATTAAGTTATCCATTTAACATTGTATAAATGTAATGACTCTAATTAATATTTAAATTTTCACATCGTTTTATAGCGGCAAAAGTTGACGGCGAATATTTGAATATAACTCAAGTGACCAGGGGTATTGTATTTACTGTTGTAGAGTTATCAATAAAATGTAAACAATAATGTATTTGTGTGAACAGAGGATATGGGGGCCTATCTGTGCATCTCATCAAATGGTGTCCCTCCGAGTGTTAGCAAAAGAATTTTAGTTCAAATCAATTGTAAGTTTTATTATTATTGTATTTTATTGATGGTATCGTTTGATTTGATTATCGGCTTATATGTGTTGATAAGCAAAAAGTAATGATATCTTATCATAAATTTATTGCTTTAAACGAAAACTCAATTCAATTCTTATAATTCATTCTTCAATTCTTATTATCAATATTTCAAAGAATCTTATTTTTATTTTTCCTTTTATATGAAATTCGATTCAATGAAATGATTTGAAATATTTCTCTTATTTCTGGTTTTTTATGTTATATACTGTGAACTAAACTGAGATTTCAATCATTTTGTAATTCTCATGAAATTCCTTTTACTTCCTATTTTATATGCGAAAGTTTATGAGAGTGTCAGTGAATAGGAATATATTAAATATTTATAAATAATATACAAAATTCTACATTTTTGCAACATTTTATTATTAAATAATATATCAATATTAGGATATTTTGAAATAAACATTCAAGCAAATATTACACACAAATTGAGTTACACTAGTATTTGTTGAGTTGGCTTTAATTGTCTCTACAAATAAAACTTTTGTTATTTAAGTGATTGAAAGCAATTAAACTGTCGTTACATTTGTTGTATTAATGCCTTACAGTTCGGCCCAAAATAAAAGTACAAAACCAATTAGTGGGCGCACCCGTCAGTACTGACGTTCAATTAGAGTGTAGGTGTGAGGCATCGCCCAAACCACTGACCTCTTGGATTAGAAGTGATGGAGTGATTCTCCAAGAGAGAGAGAGAGAGAGAGAGAGAGAGAGAGAGTAACTAAATTAAAATATACAGTTTTAAACTAATTACTGAAAATTCTTTTTTTTTAAATAACTTAATTTAATAGAGATAATTTTTGAATATATTTAGTAAAATATTTGTAGACTGGTTTATTTATTAAAAATCTAGATCGAAACTTTCTATTAAAACCATGAAATATTTGTTCAAAAACAAATCAACAAAAAATGTGTCTCTAATTTCAAGTGTTGTCTTGAATTCCTATCGGGAATTGAATCTCAAATAAGAAAACATTTGTATTTTCTGTAGTTTTTTAGTGGTGTTTGGCTTCTCGTATATAAAGCTTTAGCACATTTCTGCTCTTCATTACAGAATCTTCTGCTCCAAAAATCAGACACTTTTTCCAAAACTAAAATATTATAATTTCCATAAACTTAATTGAATTAAAAATACACAACAATTTTTTAGTAGAATAGAATTGATTGTAATTTATAGATTGAATTATGCTTATTAAATAATATAATAAAATTCAAATAAAACACTGTTTGCAGTTATTATACAGTATTACATTAATTAAATCATTAATTAAATTTGTTTTGCATTTTCTTAAAAGTTAACAAAAATTGGGATAAATAATTACTGTAGTGGCAATTGTGTTGACTTATACGGGAAGACAATTGTGTTATATTAATAGACTAACAGAATCAAATGTCTCAAAAAGTAATTGATTTTGCCATTTTCTCTGTAGACATCATGTTAAATTCAAACTAATTTTCAGAAGAAAATGTGAAGCACATTCTTGATACGTCAATAAAATAAAATTCTAATTTAATTTTAAATAATTATTAATTAACAACTTAATTTTGAGTTATTATTAGATAATGACCTTATGTTAATTTTGTTTGTATACATCTTAAAAATATCTTAATACAGTAGTTGGATGAATTACAGTATATCATTTAATTTATTTTAACTTATTTCAATAATAAAATTAAACTTCAAGCTTACTTTAATACACAAATTATTATTAACACATTTCATAAAATATAAAGAACTTTACATAAGAACCACAATTAGCAAAATTTTTTGTTGTAAAACAAACTTATCTATTTTACATAAAATAAACAAACATGTGGCTCATTAGATAAGGAACCATTATTAATATTATAAAGTATAATAATAACAAACAAACAGTAGTAATTTCATTGTATTGTTTGTAAATAAAATTATAAATTATATAAGTGCTCATCAACTTTATTAATCTATTATATAAATCTGACATAAATTTAATTAATATAGTATATTGTGTTTCAGTTGGGGCTAAATTGATACCGAGTTTTGCTGAACCGATGGCTAATGTGTCGATATCGACGGGTCGTAACACAATGCTTGAGTGCACTATTGATAATTTGGCCGAATATAAGGTAATATTATCTTTACTTTAAATTACTTATGCCTTTCATTCACTATACTGTATATCAAATGAGAATTTCGAATGCGTTGTCAATATAAATCCAATTTTCACACACTAGTACATAATTCAAATTAACCATCAATTGGTATAATGTAACTTTAATTATGAAATATGGCCATTATACAACCTAAAACAGTTTATTTATTTATTAATATATGCAATTAATAATTTTAGACATTTTTGTGTATATTTTCCGAATATCCTCACTCCCAAAATATGGGAATTTCCCGGAAGATATAAATTTTGAGGGAACTAATGTTTTGACAGTATAATAACTTAAATATTATCAAGCAACATTATATAGGTTTGAGATGTTATAGAGGAAACATTTTAATATGAAGTATACATTTTATTTTTATAATTATTCAATTGAAATGTTGTTAATTTATCTACACAAACTCAAAATCACAAAAACATTACTTAATTAAAATAGATTAATGCATTTAATTGATATAAAATGACTACATATAATAGCATATTGGTATATCACTATAGGTTGCCTGGCTCAAAATGGACAAAAACTCTGAACCAACTCTATTAACAATTCATACACAAAGTTTAATACAAGACAATAGATTTCGTGTATCGCATAATAATCACAGGCAATGGTATCTCCATATAAATAATGTCCAAATATCGGACAAAGGCTTCTATATGTGCCAAATAAATGCCGAACAAATGCAATCCCAAGTGGGATATCTTGATGTCCTAGGTGATTTATTTATTTATTTGTTTCAAAATATTTAAACTGTAATATAAAATTCCCTAAATTCTTCAATAATTGTTTTTATATCAATAAATTGTATTATTAGTAATTTATTAAAGCTAAATAATTTTCATTAACTTGGAAATCCTAAAGCTTTTCCGTGAGATAATTGTGTTTAATGCCTATAGATCCTAAAACTTTTAAAATTCATATTATGCGCCAAAGTTAAAGTGAATCAAACAGTGTGAACTGATACAGTGGCCAATCAACATTGTTTGAGAAAGTAATCACGAGTTTTAGGAATAAAATTAATGCCGATGTGGTAGTAGTTTAGGGCAAAAGTAATAGAGTGTTAACATTTTTACAGACTAATGGCCATATACTGACCTACGGTAGTCGCCCAAACATTTCATATATACAGTTTGATGTTACGTGTTTTAGCTATTATTTAGTCCGTCATAAAAATCGCGCGCCTCGGATTTCTTTATATCTCTATGGAGTTCTAAAGGGTTAAAATTACCCATGTTACATCCAATAGTGTGGGGCCGAACTGAATTGTGGTTAAAACTTAAAATAGTAAACATAAAGTAATTATAACACATAAATGACTAAGATTATAATCACATAATCATTAATTTAATATTTGATTGTTAACAGGTACAGTTATTTTTAGAACATTTTTAACTTAAATTCTGGCAATTTTAAGTCAATTTTCTTTATTGAGTAAAAAAATGTTGAAATATTTTTTTGTCCAAAATTAATGTCAGCCAATATTTCAAGTTTTATTATCGACACTATTTTTCGCCAATTTTATAATGTTATGAAGCGATTGTCATATCTTTTAAATCATATCTATTTTTGCACTTTCTGTAAGTTTTAAGATAAAATTTACAGTTTTATTTGTTAAAAAGTATTGAAAATAATAATGTTTTTAAGCAAATATATTATAACTTCATTTGAATTTGGCTAAAATACAATTATTAATATTATTACAAAAATTACTATTTTAAATTAATACTAATATATAAGTAGATACTGTTTTGGTGCATAATATAAAATAATACATTACATTTAATCAATTAAATTGGTTTATTGAGAGATGTATTTGATGTGAATATATTTGGCATTCAGTTCCGCCATCAGTGTTGGAATCGGACACGAGTTCCGATACTATTGTTGATGAACGACAAAAACTGTCGCTCAGATGTCGGGCCAGCGGTTATCCGACGCCTTCTGTCACGTGGAGAAGAGAAGACGGGAAGGACATCAATCAGGGTCTTTATGGCGGCAAAAAATTCTTTGGTCAATATATTTACTTATTATTACTTATTATTGATAATAATTGAATGTTATTCGTTGTATGATTAAGTTATTCATTTCACATCGTATAAATGCAATGACTCTAATTAATATTGAAATTATCACCTCGTTTTATAGCGGCAAAAGTTGACGGAGAATATTTGAATATAACTCAAGTGACCAGGGGTATTGTATTTACTTTTGTAGAGCTATCAATAAAATGTAAACAATGATGTATTTGTGTGAACAGAGGATATGGGAGCCTATCTGTGCATCTCATCAAATGGTGTCCCTCCGAGTGTTAGCAAAAGAATTTTAGTTCAAATCAATTGTAAGTTTTATTATTATTGTATTTTATTTGATGGTATCGTTTGATTTGATTATCGGCTTATATGTGTTGATAAGCAGAAAGTAATGATATCTTATCATAAATTTATTGCTTTAAACGAAAACTCAATTCAATTCTTATAATTCATTCTTCAATTCTTATTATCAATATTTCAAAGAATCTTATTTTTATTTTTCCTTTTATATGAAATTCGATTCAATGAAATGATTTGAAATATTTCTCTTATTTCTCGTTTTCTATGTTATATACTGTGAACTAAACTGAGATTTCAATCATTTTGTAATTCTCATGAAATTCCTTTTACTTCCTATTTTATATGCGAGAGTTTATGAGAGTGTCAGTGAATAGGAATATATTAAATATTTATAAATAATGTACAAAATTCTACATTTTTGCAACATTTTATTATTAAATAATATATTAGGATATTTTGAAATAAACATTTGTTATGTAGAGACCAAATGGGGTGACAGTTAGGACTCTACTTTCTGGCGACTCGATGTGTTGGCGCAGCTTTTTAGCGCCGAGCAGTCGCGAGATTGTGGTGACAATAACTTAGAGCGCGATTTAGGCGCAGAGTTGTCACCGAAATACTTACTTATGGCCGTCAAGGCAATCCTACGTCCCGCTGCCTTATTATGGATCTCCCGATCGGTCCCTGTCTACAGTAAACAATATGTAGACCAAGACAAACAGAAACAAGAGACAGAGTCTAATGCAAAACAACTTTATTGTATAAGGGCAGGAGTAGAACTAACTTGTTTAGGGCTCAGTCCGCTCCTTATATACACGATATGTGATTAATAGGCAATACATATTGATAGGTGGGATTGATAGGCAATGAGTCTCCACAAAGTGGTGACTCACAACTAGCAATACATCGAGTAATGGAAAAGTACAGATAGTTAGGAAACTTTAAGGCATTGAATATAGAATTATAAATGATAATCAAATAGCGCCGCTTTCTGGAGTGGCGCTTCAATCGTCTACACGACACATTCAAACAAATACTACACACAAATTGAGTTACACTAGTATTTGTTGAGTTGGCTTTAATTGTCTTTACAAATAAAACTTTTGTTATTTAAGTGATTGAAAGCAATTAAACTGTCGTTACATTTGTTGTATTAATGCCTTACAGTTCGACCCAAAATAAAAGTACAAAACCAATTAGTGGGCGCACCCGTCAGTACTGACGTTCAATTAGAGTGTAGGTGTGAGGCATCGCCCAAACCACTGACCTCTTGGATTAGAAGTGATGGAGTGATTCTCC